GGCTGCAACCACATCAAGCCCAGCAAGGGTTCAGCACAGCAGACCTCCCTGCTTGTGTTGCTCTTGCTAAGTAAACTAATATTTCAGTACACTAACTGTCATGTGACTAGTGCACCATGTTTAACGTTATCACGAGTAGCTCTATCAGTTTCCACTGCAGTTTGGGAAAACTGGTTCTGTTTGCCAGGCAGAGTCTGGTCTCCAGCTCAGTAGTTCCATGAGCTGGGATCTGTGATCACTTGTGATGTGATGACTGAATCTGGGAAGAAGACCAGACTGAGAAACATAGCGTGCCAGAGGGACGTGATGTCTGTCTTGGACATACAGACCAGTTGTCTATTGCAGTTTGGGTTTAAGCTGCATAGAATCTGTTCTATTTACCAAGGAAAAACCATGACCTATGACTCAGACCTTCCTGACAGAATGGGCTTCTCAGTCTACATAAGTTATTCCTGCCTCACTCAAATAATAATTAAGTACCTTGAAGGCTGTACCTAAGAAAAAGCTCTGATTTTTTTTTTTTAAGGCATCCAGAAGAGCCTGAAGAGATCTAAGTAAATTGTATTTTTCTATCTCCTGTTTGCTGTGAGGGAAGAGAAAAAAACATGATTCCTCCAGCTCCAGATCAAAATCTGAGATTCTGATCCAAAGAGCTCCCAGCCCAGGAGAGGTATGTGTGCATAGACATAGATGGCTGAGTCCTCTGTTTTAATAGAGCTAATCATGTTAGCAGCCTCAACACCAGGCTGCCTCTCTGGATCAGAGTACTTCACGTACAGCAGGAAAACTATCTGAATGTTTTACTATCCATTTGTCCTCCTGTATTGTTCATTGTGCTCAAGAATCTCTTGTACATCAGCTAGATAAAATTAAACCTGTATGTGCAACTGCTGGTCCAGTTCTAGCAAATGAAAATAAGCATAGAGAGAGAGGCCCTCTGCTTAGAAATGATCTTAAATGATGGAGCATAAGCCTCAGACCTGCCAACCAGCGAAAGTAGATCAGTGGGAGAGGGAGACATCTGCAATACAGTAGCCAGGTGCCTTAGCTTATCGTTTTATCTAGATTTGCTTTTAGCCCATCAGCCAAATCTGGAATGGAACATGCTTTCTTTAATATGGCAGAGATCCCTGGCAAGTAGCTGACTTCACCAACATGGTCTCAACTACAAAAAGAAAGCTGGTGTGTTTTGGTGGCGTTGGTGCCCAGGCTTGTTCATCTCAGGCTTCCTTTCAAGCCTTCCAGATTCCTTCCACCAGCCATCTTGGCCCTCCCTGGTACAGAAACCAGGGGGTGAGGCCTGTTGCCACCTCCCCCCAACTCGGGACATGTCCTGCAGTGAGTAACCAGAGCTCACATCCTGTTCCTAC